TAATATTCTTGTTACTTAGAATTGATCTGAAGGCAATTTCAAGAGGAGATTCAAGAATGTTTTGATCAATGGCATCAATAAAATAAAGAACATGAAGGTGACCAATTTAAATGTATAAGGCTTGGTATATTTTAAACTTTATTTTATAACATTAGTTTGCAGGTATAGTACCACCGTATTTGACAGAGGTGTGACTGGTGGTCTGAAAATTCGCTAATATTTGCAATGATATGGTTAAACTGATGTTCTCATGAACTACTGGAATCACTACAAATTGGTATGCTCCTCTGGAAAACTAATTTGACAATACAGGCTTGATAATGTTCATGTTCAAAACTTTTGATTTTCTTTTTTTTGGGGGGTATTATAAACCTATTTTGGAGAATCTATCATAAGAAAACAATCTAAAATGTGGGGATGGGAAAGTGGGAGGAGAGGAAAAGAAAAATATACATTAATCCATCAATGTCAGCTTTATTTATACAGGAAAAATAAATGAACTAATGATAATGCTGACGGTTATTGGATAGTTATAGGTGCCAAGCAATGTTCAAATGCATTACACTGAATAGAGGCAATCAGATAACCTACATTAGGCACACAGGAAACAAGTGAACAAAGGTATATTTTTGTATATGTGTGTGCCATGAAGGAAAAGGAACACAAACAAGGATTAAAAATTGTGTTCTTTCATTATAAAACATATTAGTTACAGAGCATATTAAAATAAAGAATAACAAAATGGAACATCATTAGAATTTGTTTAATGATGACCTTTATGGGGACAGAAAGCTTAAAACAGTCATCTCCCACATGACTGAGTCAGATCTATTGATGTATTTTTTTTTTTGAGGCATTTACATTTACGTGATTAACTTCCTTTCAATAACCCGGAATAAAAGGGCCAAGATGAAAACTATTAATACATCAACTGACTTTCAATTACCTTCTTCAAAAATTTAAGATTGTTGGAGATGGATGGTGGTGATGGCTGCACAACAATATGAATGCACTTAATGCCACTAAGCTGTACACTTAAAAAAGGTTAAGATGGT